CAGTCCCTACTTCTATGAATCAAAATCACTATTTTGCTGGTTGCCTAGGCGCCTTCAATTCCAGTCCTCGATTACGCCATTTTCGAGGATTTAGAGCAGATGACGCCCATGCACATGCCAGTGCCGGGAAACTTCCTCTCCCTAAGCTTTAAACCCACGACTCGGTTATCCTCTCCCTCACACCTATCCACATTGTTTCATATTTTTTGGGACCGTGTTCGGCTTTAGTCATAACCGATAGGGTATGAAAATGCACCGTTTCCCTTTTCTTTCTCTTAAATCTCTAAAAGTACACTCCTCTCTTCCTTCCAGTTGACACTCCCATCTAAGCCTAGGATACTACGATGTATATGTTTGTATTGGCTGGTATCCTCCGTGGTCAAGCCTGTCACCAGTTGCCTCCCTTTCAGGAACAGACACGAAAAGGCGCACAATTACCCACTTACATACACTGGTGACTTATATCTGGCCCACCTATACCTTTAACCCTTAATTTTATATCCTACGTCTCACAGGTGGACCCCCGGGTAAATTTTTAACCAATCCCTGGTTTGACTCCTCTCATTACAAGCTTTTTTTCTTGACTTCCCTCTGTCCCTCGTGAGCCGCTCCTTGACAGTGTCTTTTCCTGTAGTTAAACAGTTGTACTGGGTCTAAGCGTCTTCTTTTTGATGTCCTCGCTCAATATCCAAGTATTCCCAGGGAGTACGTGAAATTATCACTGACTTTACCCTCTTCTAATATCCTGTTCAGGTTTATTTGGAAGAGGATGTCCACAGCCTCACTGATCTTTCGTTTCCTAGTCTTTTCTCAATATGGGACCAGTCTTTATGTTGCATCTGAGTCAATTGTGTGGCCGGTAAGGGCAATGTGCTTAGCTTTCTCCATTTTATGCATAGTTGCTGGTGTTCTTTAACCCTTGTTCTCCTTGTCCTTCCCTTCTTTCCAATGTATTTTTTCTTACAGTCCTTGCAATTTATAATGTAAACTCCGAAGCACTCCATTTTGTTGACTTCTTCATGTTGGTTAGGCAAGCTGGTGAAGAGGGTTGTCATTTCCTTCGGGATTGTACGAATATAGCCGTAGCTTCCCAGCAAATTCGCAGGAGGGTATACATATCCATCATTTTTTCTCTGCTCCTCTTGCTTTCCTTTCTTAATCTCTGTCCATCCATCTGTTCGTCACCATCCTTATGTTGAGTTGTATTGCTTTTTCTGGATATCCTTTGCCAAGAAGCAGCCGAGTTAGCTTATCCTGTCTCTATTCCCAGAACTCAGAATCAGATAGTCGTTGGCTTTTTAGGACCATACTCCGAAGTATTTCAATCTACACTCCATAAAAAGTGTTCGACTGGAAGTTAAGAGTTATTCTACCATGCGATTTCTTTCGTAAAAGTCGAATCTTGGGGGTTTCTTTGGAGCGATGACCCCTCTTTTCAAGAAAGGTAAGTGGTCGTTCACTTCAATATCCATAGCGCTTTTGACTTTTTCATCCATTCAATTTATGAAGATCAGGAAATCGTCTAATTTTCATTTTTTCATGTAATCATATTGTGAAGTAGTCATCCAAATATCGCAAAATTACAGTTGGCTGCTAAGGTGACTTTTTCAAATTCTCCTCCAACTTGTCCGTGAATACATTAGCCAACAGAAGTTAGAGTGGTGATCACATAAAAGACCATATATTTGCTCATAGAAGCAGCCTTTGAACGTAAAATAGGTAGTTCTTATTGTTAGGTTGATTAATCGGGTTAGAGACTCAACGAATTCGCTTAGTCTCCAGGATGTCATATTCTCTTTCTAAGATCTCCAGTAGTGCCATGAGTGCTTTTTATCCTGTGATGTTAGTGTACATTGACCGTAAAAGTTCACCAAAAGTTAGTTTCCATTGAAAATGGTACCTTTGATTCTTTGGCAAATTTCGTATTAGTTCTTCATTGTATTCGATAATCTGTCATTCACTTTCTTTAATTTGAGGCAGATAAAGTTCGCCAATTTATGTGTTGCTCCGTGTTTGTTGTTAAGTATCAGTCTTGTGTCCTAGTCTTGTGTCCTCTGCCATAGTATTCATGATTTCAAGCATCGGTTAGCCCTACAGGTCAAAACTTTTACCAAATATTATATTCAAAGCAAAAGCATAATATTTTATATATTTTGAATATAAATGGCTTGCTTTCTCACACAAAAATTTGTGCTACCCTTGATATTAACATTGCCCCATATTTTTTCACATGATCCCCTAGTCTTTCTAGAGTTGGTAAAGTGCTTACATTGGGACTTAATACATGTGTTCCGCCTTCCTATTCTATCTTACAAAAACTCGAACTAACATTCCGATTCCTGTGGCCTCTACACTATTTGTACTAAGCTTTGACCTGTGAAGAGTATAGATAAAATTGACGTTATTACCGTACCTTTTAATAACTTCATCGCGGAGCAAATTATGCCAATCTTGGTTCTAATGTTTTGGCTGATAAAAAGCTTACATCCCACTTCATCAATAATCACCATGACATAAAAGTAAAAAAACATTCATTTATCGACTATTTTATAAAAAACCTAGTAACTTCGTCCGAGTGGTTAACATGTCAGGCTCACATTCTGCACTGTCACGGTTCGACTCCCGCTGGGGGTGTTGATATGAACGACGCGAGGTCGAAACTGCAGTCCACTGGTGCCTGGATGAGAACAACTTTTGGGAAAGCAAGGCTATGT